ACCTTTGCCATGTTAAATTATTTTTAAACTCTTAATATTATCATAGTCGAAATATTATTTTAAACATTAATAAGAACCAGTATGCAGTACTTTATGATATATACGCTAACTTTTAACGCTCATATTATGGAAAAGAAAATTAACCATTGCTTAATAAAAACGATTTCATCGAAAAATTACCGTTAAGATAGATTGTTAGAAACAAAATTCTATAGACGTTTGCTTTAAGTTTGATACGAGAGAAGATTTTTCTGATAACACTGCCGCCTATTGTTTAATTCTACACGATCAAATCGTGAAGTTTAAGTCAATCAGCGGTTACGGGTAAAAAATTAATTTAATATAGCCTTTCTGAAATGAAACTAATGGCTCTTCAAAATAGAATGAATCAATCAAGCGTGCTGCAGTAGATATTCGACTTGAACTTGAGACAAGAACCGATTTTCCTGATGATACTGATACCTACCACTTAATTCTTCATGATCGAATTGTACAATACCATCCGATCTGTCGCAATATGAAAAAACTAATGTGGTATGTAACTAGTATGAAAAAAGTTATATAATAGAAAAGGTATATTATATTATTTTATAAATTTTTAATAAATACAAATCAAATTTGCAAATAGGATTGGCTCTTTTCATTCTATAACAATTTTATTGTATTTTAAAAAAATAATAAAAAAATACAAAAATATTTTTATTTTTAAAATACAATATTTTTTATATATTTTTTTTCTTCGGTCTTCTTTTTCTTCTTCAATCCTACTATTTCAGTGGGAGGAATTGGCTTTCAAATTTTAGACTCAGCTAGTATTAAAATAATTTTTCGTATTACTGCCTCAACTTTTGTGATTGACGAGACCTTCGAAATATTTTCGTTTGTCTGTAACAAAAAGAAAGTTGAATATTAATTTCAATTTTTGAATTTATAAAAAACATTTTTGGAGGTTATAGAGCTCGTAGATGGTGGAAATTGGGTTGTAAGAGTTCAGGGTTATGGCCGTGCAAATTACAGGGCTCGTGGGTAAAGGAAATTGGATTGTAAGCATCCAATGTTACTGCCAGTGAAATATCTATGGGTCACTTGCAATCAAGTTCAGTTTTTTCAGCTTCAAAAATGATTGAGTAAGAATTCCTGACATTTGAAGTCACTCTCGAAATTGCTAAAATACAAAACTTCAAATAACGATATCTCGATAAAAAAAAAGATTTTCGAGGTCTGGAAAGAGAATTTTAAAGAGTAAGAGTTACACTTGAAGGTGGTATTTCCGGTTTGAAAAAACAAAAATTTATCCAAGGTGTGAAGTAACCTCAAAAATAGCCAAAAACAGTGTTTTTGCCACTTTTAGGTTAGAATATCTCGAGAATCACAGGTGATGGACCAATTTATGGGTTTCGTAAGTTTTAAGGAAAGAAAAAATCACTAGGAGCCAAATCCGGTTAATATCGAAGCTAAAGCGTGACTGTGATGTTGGTTTTGGCCAAAAAATCTCTCACAAGCAACGATGAATGAGCAGGTGCATTATTGGAATGCAAAATCTACGAATCGTTTTTCCAAAGTTCCGGATGTTTTTTGCGTATTGTCTCTTGTAAACGACACATAACTTCAAGGTAATACTCCTTATTGATCCTATGACTTTGTGGTAAGAATTCCTGATAAACTACGCCACGGTAATCAAATAAGATAGTGAGCAAAACCTTGACATTTGATCGAACTTGGCGTGCTTTTATGGGACAATTAGACTTAAGTTTCGACATCATAACTATATACCCACGATTCATCACCATTTATAACCCTTTTGAAGAAATCATGATTTTTATTGATTTCATTCAATATCTCCTTAGCGATGGTTATGCGATGGTTCTTTTGATCAAAATTAAGCAATTTTGGAACGAATTTTGCTGACATACGTCTCATGTCCAAAATGTCCAAAAAAATATCATGACATGAGTCAACCGACATGCCAACATCTTCCGCAATATCTCTGATGGTGATTCGACGATATTTTAACACAATTTCTTTTACTGCTTCAACGTTTTCATCTGTTGTTGATGTGCTGGGACGTCCAGGGGAGGTTCATCTTCGACATTCTCTCGGCCTTCTTGGAACAGCTTATATACATTTTTCTTCCTCAAAATAGACTCACCGTATACAATTGTCAACATTTCAAGAGCTTTAGAGCACTCAATTCTATTTTTCACACAAAATTTAATGCAACCTTTTTGCTCCATTCTTTCGATAAAAGAAAATTGAAAATTACCGAGCACACCAAACACTTGTAACCTCTGACGCCTTTGCCAAAAAAACATCACGTGCTATATAGTCAAAACTGTGAATATATGGTTGTGCCAAGTGTACCAATATAACAACAACAACAATTCAAAACTTAATTATAAATGTAAGTAGCCTGCGAAAATTGAAAAGTCACCGTACTTTTTGAACACCCGTCGTATAATATAATTAAATATAATACACTGCGGATCACCTACTTTAGAAAAAGAAAACGCCCGTGCGCGCGTCCATTTTGACGAAAATAATTTTTTGACCAGTGATTAAGATAGAGTTTATTAAAAGCTAAAAGATGTTGTTACATAAATTTTTGTAAGATTTTTTTTCCAGATTTGGCAAATTTGCAAAGTTAGCACAAAAATTTCCGATATTTCAGTGTTGAATTATTGCTTGCAAAAAATAAAAAAAAACAATCGATGGTATCTACGAGTTATACCATTTGAAAGCTCTTGAAAAGACCTTTCAAACGCGCCATCGGGCAACTCTGTTTGTTACGGTTTTTACCAGAGACATTGAACTTTAAAGTTTTGACTAATTTTGTGGCGGGGGGGCCCAAAGTAGGTGACCGACAGTGTATATACACTACACTTAACAATGTCATTAATTTTTTTGTATTATACGTTAGAGTCTTTAAAATCCTCCTACCGTAGTCCTGCTCCGATCGAGCCTACATATTCAAGCATCGTATATCTGAGGAAGGCCGAAGATCGCGACGAGTGACTCATCGTTAATTGCCAAAGAGTTTCCTTCCGTGCTAATGAACCTCCATTATCTTACTCATCTACAATTGAAATATCTGGTAATGCAGAAATATCATACTGACGTACTAGAAGTACTCCGGACATCGTTCTGTTATCTCCGGAGAGAGCTATGCTGGGAAAGCTATTCTGCTTCTAAAAAGTGGAGGTGGCGATTCATAAAATAATTAATATATTATTAATAGAATCATTTGGAAGTAAATCAATAATTATTGCATATTTTTAAAGTATAATATGTATAAAAATAATAGATGGAATAAAAAATTACATTCGTTTAAATCTTTTATTTTAGATGGAATCGCGTACCTTAAATCCCCACCCTTTTACCAATGGATGCCAGCGTCGACGTTACACTAATCTTGTAAGCAAGTTCACTGAGTGATCTCGAGCCTTCCTAGTTTCTCTACTAAAGTGTGTACTAGCATTCATCATGGCCACCGCCGCCGTGCGTTTTCAGAGTAGGACAAAGGCGATAACTCGTCACGGCGGAATCCACTACTATTACAACGGCGACTGAGTTGATCTTTCACTATGCTTAGTAAGACATTATTTTTGCAGACACACGAACCAAGAAGTTTCCGCTACATCTCATAGCAACTCGCATATGTAGGCTTTAGGGGATGTCTTCACCTCGCCTCAACAGCAGCCACACGACGCGTGACGACATGTCCTCTCTCTCTTTCTCTCTCTCTCTATCTTCCAGCAATATGTTTTCACACCAGCAATACAATTTAACTAGATCGCTGTTTCTGGAGCGTAGACATGGAAAATGCGCCACCGTTTTATGATTGTCGCGATCAGCTGGGTTTCTTTCTTGAATGAACAATGTATCATTAATAAATTGTCGGGTTTCTGTGTACATTTCTATTCATGAGTATAATTTATTTATCCACTGCTTCTTTCACCTGCCATACTGACATGTACGTCTGATTCAGTACCTCTACGGAATGCTTACGGCTAGAGTACAACAAATATTGAAGAAACTAAATACTCTGTTTCTTGAAAAACGGCATGAAGTGAATGTTGCAAAATATGAACCAAGTGTATTATCGATTCCGGTGTATGCATAAATTACGCACACACTTCTTCATCTTATTTTCAATTTAAAGTAAAGATTGTAATATTAAAGTTTTTAAAAATTGCATTTTTAGATTTTTTTTACAAACAAAACTAGTAAAAAGCGAATTTAAAATAATTTGAGACTCTACAAGGATCTCCGTGGCCGAAAATCTAGAAATGATTTCTATTTTTGATATGTATAAAACGTGATATCATTTCTGACCTCAAACGCATTTCAGCCTGATTTTACATTGTTGATCCGCTAGACAATTAAATTTTGTTGGGGCTTTTACGTCATGGCTTTTCGTTATAAACTACATATAATCGTATATTGTCATACACGTAGTAGAATTTGAATATAAAAATTCTCTTCAATAATTCAAGAAGGGCCTAGATTTTGAGTCCCTTTTTCAAATAAACAACAGGATACAACGAAGGAAACATCAAACATAGAAATATAATTCAACATCAGAATAGCCGATGCAGAAAATATAAGTAAATGAAATTGTCTATGCGTGTTTAGTATCGCCTAGTCTTAATCTGTAGTTCACTGTATCGTAGATACAGTAGACGTAGTTATGTTTATAAAGAAAATATACATATTGGTAATGTTATAAATTAGTCATTAATTTCATCGTATTTTTTTAGAATAGTTTAGTATATGGTTCTAGTTAATAATTACATATGAATATAATAAGAAAAATCGAAATGTTATCATAATATGAAATATTAATATAAAGTATCACAAATTAAGTATGACCATTTCTTCAACTATCTATTTCATTTAAGAATATTTACTTCTCTTCAATCCATTCATGTAAACTGTAGTTATAATTTATGAATATAATATTTCATAAAAAATAAAATATTTTTTTATTTTACATAATGAAGAGATGCTCGTCAAGTTCATCTACGAAAAGGACGGCATGGATTTGGTTTTAATATCGTTGGTGGAGAAGATGGAGACAGTATATATATATCTTTTATATTGAAAGAGGGACCAGCATTTATTGATGGTACATTGAAGAAAGGTGATAGAATTGTGTCAGTTAATGGTATTGACTTCAAAAATATATCTCATGAAAAGGCAGTTGGTATTCTTAAAGTGAGTACTGTTTTTAAGTTCATATAATATAATACATTTGAAAATGATAAATTAAATTATATTATTCCATACAAACTAATTTAGAAGCTTTATTATTATTGGATAATTCAACTAAAGCATGTTTACACTTGATTACATAATAATCCATAATAAAATTAAGAAAACTTGAAAATAAAATTTGGAATTTAAAATACTAAAATATTTATAGAATTTTTTGAATTATCCCATGAAACATATCATTAATAATAAATAAACACGAATATATATTTATTCTTATCAAAATATACATCTTAAATTATAATGAATCATTAACCCATTAACGCCTGAATTGCAGTTCTTCAGTAGTCCATGTTTGAGGTAGTGCCAATCAACGTAAAAATGATAAAATTGTCTGAAAATTCATACTCGACTATTTTCGGGTATGCTCTTTCGATTGGCGTGGTTAAAAATTTAAAAAAATTTAAAAAACCATTAAATTTTGCAATTTAAATAAAAAAAAGCACGATTTTTACAATACATTTTTTTTCAAACTCGATTTTCACCTGGAACCACCTGTTCATTTCACGCAGAACCTTTCAAAATCGTGCAATAATACCTCGAACTTAAAAGTTAGATTATATATGATAATAAATTTTGGCATAAAAAATTCAAAATGGCGCCCAAAATGGGTCAATGTCAGGGTACATTTTCATTATTTTTTTTTTCACGAACGGTCAATTTTAGAAAAAAATTGTATGGAATAAAAAGTGTTTAGAATCACTCAAAAAATACGCCTGAATTTTTTCAAAATAGTTTAAAGACTTTTTTAATTTTTTTAAAAAGTTGTTAAATTCAAAAATCCAAAAACTTCTCAAAAAATTCTGAAAAAATTCACACTTACTCTTTGAATGATTTTAAACAACTTTTTTTCTATAAAATTTTTTCCTAAAACTGATCATTGTTGACTAAAATGGGTTAAATAGAAAAAATTATTCGTGCACTACATGGCCGAAAATCTGCATACACACACAGGCATATATATACAAGTCTGGGTGTAATATTTGTAAGTATATAATCCAGAGATCAAGATCGCCCTTTGCCATTGTCTTTATCAACAATGTTGCCCGATTCTCACCACTTGGAGGTGGACGATTTCCGAGAATCTTCTTCTTTTTTTTTTTTTTTTTATTTATTTTTTTTTAATTTTTTTTACGTTTTTTTATAATTTTTTTAAAAGGTTTACGTTTTTTAAACTTTAAAAAGTTATTTTAAATGACTATCAGTGGATTGTATCAAAACATATTTTGCGAAAATACAATTCACAATTTTCACAAATCCTGTTTGTTCGCTTTTCACATTTTTCTCCCGAACAATATCTAAACTTTTGTACAATCTCTGACTTATGTCCTTTGAAATCCTTCTTCGCCATGTAATGTTTAGCTAATGAGAGTGCAAAGCTTTTTGTAGAGTGTTTTTTATCTTCTGAATCGGTCAAGTCTCTCAAAACTACAGAATTGGTGATGCTTGATTGAATCATTCTCATGAGTATAATCCAAGTCCATTTTTTCGAACGCACAATAGGCACAACCTTATTACATCGCTGGTCATGAATATCAACTCCGCCCATAAATTTGTTATACACCGAAAATGCATGGGGGAATGATATGTCAGATTTCTGCTTTTGTTCCTTGTCAAAACGTTTTACTATAGAAAGAGGAGTAACACCTGCGGCAGTTGACAAAATAGAAACTGGCTTAGAATCTACAACAGTTATAAAGTTGATACCACTTTCTGTATCATGTTTGACTGCATATGTACCTCTATTATCTTTTTTGTCAACGTTGTTTTTTACATTGATACGATTTTCTCGAACCGTGCCTGTTGCTTGTATTCCAATTTTGTGTAGATGTACTAATAAATCAGGGCAGCAAAATAAATTATCGAAATAAACGTGGTACTTACTCAGCTTTTTAATTGATATATTTTCCAAAACATTTTGCAACATTTGCATGACAACACGGCTGCCTAATGCACATTTTGGTAAAAAATCATTATTTTCAGAGTTTTTTCCGCAGTATATGTCACAGTCAAACACATACCCGTTTGCACTACATAAAGCCCATAGTTTGATACCAAATCTAATGGGCTTTGATTTGATGAATTGCTTCAACACAGTTTTTTCAAAAAATTTTAGCATCATTTCGTCGATCGAAAGAGCCGTTGCAAAAACTCCAAAAATAAGAAGATTTTTTCTAAAAATGTTGAAAACAGATCGAACACGCCAGACTCTATCGTTAGAATCTTCGTCTTCTGGTTTGGACAACTTGAGCTTTGACTTTATCTCCTGAAATTCATCGCGACTCATAACATTAGGTATTAAAGCACATCCAAGAAAAGGATCTTTTGACCAATAATCTCTTTGGGATAAACGTTTGTTGAACATGGTAAATATTATTATACCTAAAAATGCATTCAATTTTTCCGGAGTCAGATCATATCCATTTATTTTAGTAGCTTCGATTATATATTGTTTGATATCTGTAGAAAAGAACAATTCGAATAGTTTGGAGTCAGAGCATTGGGAAATGAAGTTTTTATCTTTTTCTGACAGTAATATTTCATTTTTCAGATTAGAATGATATTTCTTTTCTCCGTCAACCCAAACAAATTGATGGTCATCTTCAAGTTTTTTCTGGGAAGGTTCATATCCTTGGAGAACTTTTCTATAAGATGAACTTGGAAAAAACTCTTCGACTTCATTTTCAGAATCATCAAAATCGTCATTTTCGTAACGTGAATCATCACCATCAGATTCGCCAGAACTATCTGGATTTGGAATAAAAACAGCTTCATCATAATTTTCTTCTTCATCAAATTCTATCGAACTAGACGATACCTTGTATTTCTTTTTATGACGATTTTTTGAAACAGTAGCAGAAGCCGATGTTTCATTTTTTCTCTTTGGCATTTTTACAATATGTTTCAGAAACAAAGCAGTAGAAATATTTAAAATATTGAAAACAAATAAAGTAAAAATAATTACTATGATATGTTAGAATCATCACGTATAATTATAGAGCACATGAAAAATAATAAAAGAAACTATCTTTGAAATAATTGCGACATTTTCGGTTCAGAAAAAAATCATTAGCAATATTTTAAATCTTCAAAATAAATAAAGTAAAATTAATCCCTATAATATGTGAGAATCAAGAATATGGTAATCACACATAATTATACTGATTATTATGATAAGTAATCGAATAAAAATAACTAACTTTGATATACTTGCTACATTTTATAAAAAATATATAAAACAGATTTAAAATAAAAAGAAAAGAAAAAGTAAGGAAAGTAAACTAAATAAAGAATGTTAAAAAAATTTGCTTTGTGGACAGAAATGTAATTTCGTTCAACAAGTAAATATTTTTTTCTATTTAACCCATTTTAGTCAACAATGATCAGTTTTAGGAAAAAATTTTATAGAAGAAAAGTTGCTTAAAATCGTTCAAAGAGTAAGTGTGAATTTTTTCAGAATTTTTTGAGAAATTTTTGGATTTTTGAATTTAACAATTTTTAAAAAAAATTAAAAAAGTCTTTAAACTATTTTGAAAAAATTCAGGCGTATTTTTTGAGTGATTCTAAACACTTTTTATTCTATACAATTTTTTTCTAAAATTGACCGTTCGTGAAAAAAAAAATAATGAAAATGTACCCTGACATTGACCCATTTTGGGCGCCATTTTGAATTTTTTATGCCAAAATTTATTATCATATATAATCTAACTTTTAAGTTCGAGGTATTATTGCACGATTTTGAAAGGTTCTGCGTGAAATGAACAGGTGGTTCCAGGTGAAAATCGAGTTTGAAAAAAAATGTATTGTAAAAATCGTGCTTTTTTTATTTAAATTGCAAAATTTAATGGTTTTTTTAAATTTTTTTAAATTTTTAACCACGCCAATCGAAAGAGCATACCCGAAAATAGTCGAGTATGAATTTTCAGACATTTTTATCATTTTTACGTTGATTGGCACTACCTCAAACATGGACTACTGAAGAACTGCAATTCAGGCGTTAAAGGGTTAAGGTCATTATAGGAATAGTGAGAGCCCCAACCTTCGTTCTCACCTGTCAGGTACTTCCTTTCGAATCGTCACTCATGAGTCACTTTTACAATGAGATAAAATTTATTTGAAAGAGCTACATTATGAACTTTTTTTTTACCTCTCCACAAAAGGAAATAAGAGGATAGTTAAATAAAGGAAAGCAAGACTGTTCGATTAGATATATTTTTTTTTATTATTTATAGTGCAGCTATTTACATTAGTATTATAATACATTTAATTATTATTCGTTGAAGATATAATTATGTTTAAATTCGAAGTTTGAACCGACAATATCGTAAATAACTAACTCCTCCTTCTCACTAGTCTGATGTAAGTTTTTTAACATTTCTTCATCTTTTTCGAGTACTATATTAACACTTTTGGACAGGAACACATCAAGTTCGTCATCTATTGTAATATCAAGGCTAAATCCATATTTCGCTGTTAATGATCTAACTTTAGTAACTTGATATAATGTATTCGATTTAAGTTGGGACATCGCCTTCCGAGGAAGGAAAGTCGTCTTGGAAATTTTATTTATTGCTGAGAAATCCATTCTGTAAAATAAAAAATCAAAGAATTAATTATTTATTTATTTATTACTAAGGTATTAATAAACTAAAATTATTTAAATATCTTACTTGTCTCAATAGTTAGTGGAAGATGTATTAGTGGTTGAGGTAAGACTGTTGCTTGAGTGAGAGCTGAGCAACTATTTCAAACCAGAGTGAGCTCTTAGTTTCATAAATGACATCCCCACTATTAAAGCTCAAGCCGCCGTCGCCGCTTCCCACTCTTTCAGTCTCCCCTCTCTCATGATTCTCCATCTAAAACCATTCTCCCACTCTATAGACTCAGGTATCCATTGTTTCTCCCTCTCTATTACTAGTCATCAGCGTCATCTAGTAACTATC